AACATCGGTGTGTTATCAACATTGTTCTCACTCTAAATCCAAAACACAGCACTGTACCAGCTACTAGGAAGGAAATTAACTCTAGCCCAGCTGAAACCAGGACAATGAAGCATAAGGTTTCAGCATACAGAGGCTTAGTAGCATGAGTAATATGCACGTTCAGAAGGTGACTGCAGAGGCCAGTGAGGACATCTGGCTATGTGTATTTCTGGAACAACCAGGGAAGTTGGGCTGGAGAAAATGCTTAGGATAGATGTGGTTATGTTCAAAGTTAGCAGAGATCATTGACCTGAAGTATCATCTCGATCCATAAGGGGGCATAGGTCTAACTTGGAGATTAACCCTGGGAGGAGTCACCTGGGAAACCCTGCAACTGTTTAAAAGACCATGGCTAAGGCTGATGGCAGCATTACAGTCCAGGTCAGCAAAGGCCAATGAACTGGGGCACTGGCTGTGCTCAAAGGAGGCTACCAGGAAAAGATGCACAAGAGACAACCAATTAACTTTAGCTTCAGATTGGAGGTGTATTTTAGAGTAAAGGTAGTTGACAGAAAGCTGAGATTTGAGCATGAATGCTAGGATTTAGAACAGAAAAGGCCATTCATCTAATGTAATTATTTATTTTAGAAAGCACGTGCAAGGTAATTGGAGCTTAGTCAGTTAAATGACTTGTCTGCATTTGCTTCTGAGGATGAAAATTACAGTTCACGGAATTAATGCTATGGCAAAGGTTTGTCTAGGATTGAGTTTATAGTTGGAGCTAGGAAGATACTTGTTTGGAAAGGTAGTACCTTATGTAACTTGAGAAGAGGCGGTGATAGGAGCCAGTTAAGTACACATACATAGTCCAAGCTGAGAGGGGTACCTGTTTTATTACAATTAGGACTAAGAGGCAAGTTAGGCAGTGCAAGTGAATTCTGGGCAAAATAAGGGCAATTATGATTTCACCTACATCCAAAAATAGCCCCCCCAAGTTAAGCCAGAGAAGTGTTTAAACCTTTAAGAATACTTTTAATTCTGGGTAAAGGAAGTTAGAGTTAGTTTTCAGTTTATAGCACCAGCAAATGGGAAGGAAATAGAATAACTTTTTATATAATAGCTACTAGGTTAATATAAGTATACTGATCACATTAAGGATACGTCTCAACCAGAATTTTTAAAAAGAAAAACAAACCACACCCACAAACCAAGAAACCTCCAGGTCTCAGGGTCTCAGTCAGAACTAATTGATCAAAAATGGCCTTAAAATGAAGTTTCTGCCTAGCTACACCCAAAGCCACCTAAACCAGTCCCAGCACTGCATGTCAGGGAGTAGTTCACACCAGCCCTGATTTCACGCTAGACTCTAACTTGTTTCTTTTACTAATATTTACCCAACTGTCTCTTTCAAAAATGATCCCACAGAGCAGCTATCACGGCCCAGGTATTGGTATCCGAGAAATGTACAACAGCTGTCTTTCTAGCCCAGCCATCTCTGTCATCCTCTGAATTGCATGTAGGCAAACAGAATAGCAGTATTTGAATGTTTAGACATTCAGAAGTTGGGACTAGATTTAGATTTAGGATGAGACTTCCATGAGCTGAAGAGCAGGAGTATGGTCTGGTAGACCTTGTACTAATTTGGGGACTGGCGCTTGCAAAGGGCCACCAAGATACTTTCATATAAGAAGCTGTGGAGGTAAAATCATAGTAGCACCTTTAAAGAACATTCAGAAGATTTCAATCAGGCAGCAGAAGAGCCTGTTTATGCACTACACAAAAATGTAAGGAGTGACAGGAGCAGAGGGCGTAGCTTTCAGCTCTCCCCACCACAGAGGTGGTTTTCCCCCCTAGAAAGGGTATGACTTCACTTGCTGACTGTCTGTCCCCTTCCCACAGAAGCCTGCACTTCTTCCTGGAGAGCCTCACCACCCCAACTTGCCCAACTGCAGGGCACTTAGGTCTCTCCTGTGGGGTTGGAAAGGACAGCTTTGAACATTTTAAAATCTCCAGACATTTGCATGTTTCATCAGGCAACAAGGTCTGTTCCACTTCATCTGATACTAATATCACCTTGAGAGCAGCATAAGGAGTCAAAAAAAAAAAAAAAAAAAAGTCTTACGTTCCTAAAACCCCTACTTAAAGCAAATACACTTGTACTATCAACTATCAGACAGGGTGATTACATTTTTTTTTTTAACTTATCTCTTTTTCTTAGAAGCCAAACTCGATGAATACTGAAATAAATATTGTCACAGTCTTGCAAATAAAGTCTTCGAGTTTGTTTTCTTCTGTCATTCTCTTGAAAGAATCCTCCCTCAATCCACAGTCACATACAATGCTATGCAAAATCAAAGGCACTTACTCATACCAGTTTTGGGGTATCACGTTTTTGTTTGTGGATGAGTTTTGAAAAAAAAGTCTTTACAGAAAATGAAAACATCATAGTGCAAAGGTTGTCTGCATTTTTAAGTGTTCGCTCAGCTCTCTGAAAATGTCTGTTAATTACACAATAGATTTCAACATTTGTGGAGGTTAATGCTTCCTCGCAAGTTATCTACCAAATAAACCATCTTTCCCAAGTTTCACTTTCAATTCACCCAACCAAAGAATGCCTAAACCAATTCTGATGGTTTCCAATCAGTTCTGCAACAGAACAAAATACTGAATTATCGATGTTTGGATGAATTCTTAAATATTCTGATACTGTGTTCAGAATTACTCAGGTAGTTAGCACACTTGTTAAAATTAAAAACTGATTGTAAATAATGTAACCAAGGGATATATCACTACTATTCTTCCATGACGGATGAACAATGCATAGTTAGATCCAGCCAAATGAATCAAGACAAGAAAAAAAATAAAAGGATTCTTGGAGAGGTGGAGACATTTCATCTCCTCTTGCAGCTTATTATATACTTGACTGAGATCTCTCTTGCCCAACTTTATCAAGGTGAAAAGTACAACAAAAGAATTATAAAGGGAAATAAAGCTTAATAAAACATATGGATCATGTTACCTTTTGTAAACGGGCATTGATCCTGAAGCCACTTCCGTCTGACCTGATAAACAAATCCCCTAGAAACAAATCTACAAGAAGAAAAACTAGTTCCCTATACCAGCATTCAGTAAGGAGGCTTTAGAAGAGAAAACGCTAGTGTTAAGCCTAGTATCAGTTAATCAAGCACTTGTTGAAAATTTGACTTAATTGTGTATGAAAAGGATGTGACATACTGGAAGTTGGTAAATCTTCATTTGGCTACCTTGGTAAGTTTAATCATATACACTAATTTTTCTGCATGTGTGTGGCATATTTCTGCACTTTTTTTAACAATGTATTTTCTTTACAAATATTTTGCTGCTGAGAGATTCTACTCATAAAAGTAACTCATACGTACTCATAAAGAAACTCATAAGTTTCAACTTATTTAACAAAAAAAAAGCTTGGTAAACTGAAAAGCAGAAAAAAAAAATCATATTTTTAATATAAGACTTCCATGAAAAGTTGTCTTTAATCTTTTCTATTTCTGCAACAGAACTCTATTCACATAAATTTCTGGAAGCTCCATGCCGAGTTGCAAAATTCTGCATGGAGAAGAGGTGATTATTAAAAAAGAAAAAAAAAAAGCAAAGAGAATGCCTGGCCAAACAATGATCAGTCTTTTTATTTCATTATGTAGCTTAGATGTGATTGCACTTCATAAAATAAAAGTCTTGAAAGATTAAAAAGCAATAACAGCAAATCTCACCGCAATGGTATGCAGTCATATCTTTGCTCAGAAGTGGAAAATAGTAATAATTTGTCTTTATTGTCATTTATGATGTATCTTGAATGTGATTTTTAGTGCTTGTCCATTTTAATAAGCATAGGTGTTAATTAGCCTTTATCTATTAAAAAGGAATTAATATTCACTACAGTTGTGAAAGAAGCCATTTCCATCATAAAGATGTGCTTTTTCTTCCTGTAAACATCTGAATGATTGTCTTATAACTGAATTATTTGTAAAAAGCAATACTTTGAACTAGCAAACTTGATGAAATAATTTGTTTCTAATCACTTTATAAATCAATCTGATGGGACTATATAATTGGAAAAAAAAATCATATTCAACGTGTGATATTCAGTAGCTCAAGAAAAAAGTCAACATAAGTTTGAATAAACTCATTCTAATAAATAAAAGTGCCCAAAGAAGCCAGCAATCATGAACAGTTTTAAGATTCCTCTTAGCAAACAAAGAAGCTGAATTAAAGAAGGGGTTGAAGAGGTTGAATTAATAATCTCCAGTTATAACTAGAAATGTCAGTCCAGTTTCAGAGAGACTAGTCATCAAAATACCTTCAAATAGAGCTTCATGAATCACGGAACATAAGATTATTTACTGATCAATCAACAGATAAGTTACTTTGATAAATTGTTGTCTTCATTATTTGATTACAACATAATCAAATAGTATTTAATACAAAATA